TCCCTACAGATGAAACGGTGGACAGCTGGTTCCTTATGAGCTCGCCTGGACCGGTAGTTTCAATTGTTGGACTCTATTTGCTCTTTGTGCTCAAAATCGGACCCGCATATATGCGTGATCGTAAGCCATATGATCTTAAGAAAGTCATGGTCATCTACAATGCATTCCAAGTGTGCTACTCTATGTGGATGTGTCGTACGGTAAGCACATGAGTATAAGTGTAGTAAGAACAAATTTGAAAAATAAAAAGAAAAAAATTATGTAACCTAAAAATTTGTATAGTATTTATAACAGTTATTTGTTGTTATATTAACTATAATGATGTTTTCAAAAAAGTTCACCAATTTTACTTTTCAGCTGGATCAATGGCGTCATTATTTGCTTTTATCTTTCACTTGCGTTCTCTATTGATGAATTTAATAAACAAAAAAAACAAACATTGAAATATTCTTAAAGATCTTCTTTATGTTAAGAARTTACATGAGCTCCCTCGGGTAAAAAGCAGCCTTTTTTCAAAAATTTTTTCCTCTACTAAAAAATGAAATATTTTGTTAGAATTTTTATTATTAAAAACTTACACTGAACATTGCCCACGTTGGCATAATTAATTCTTACAGGATCAAAGAGAGTTTCGAGAAAAGCGCGTTTAAAACGTCGCACTTAGCCTAGCTAGCCTCGAGCACATAAGTTTTCAAGGCTGTATATCCGAAACTATTACCCGGATCAACTTGAAACTTTAGGAAAACATATTAAAGATGTTGYAGAGTTTAATAATACAATAAAAAAATTTATTTTTGAAACCCGTAAAACCATGTAACCTCTTAAAAAGTGTTCCTACCAGTGCGTTTGAAATAATTACTTTGAAAGAAAAAAAAAATAGATGTTGCGTAATTAAATAACTTTATTTAATTAGAACCAAAACGAACTTTTAGAGGGTGCTTGCTATGCGAAAATTGTTCAATACTTTCGGTTTCGAAGATACATTATAAAAAATTTAATTTTACCCAATAGTAGATTTTTGTGCTTACCAATGAGCGCACAGATAATTCTAAATAATTTGATAAATTGTATTCCATTTTGCTAAACGACCTGCTTAAGATACATGCWGAATTAGACGCCAAATATTTGTTCTAAAGATACTCAATGACATGAGAGCCTTCATGACATTAAAAATAAAAAAATATGTCAAATGTCAAAAACTATAAAAAACCAGCATGAAAATTTATTTGAATTAGTGGAATATAGGTTTATGATTTTGGAAATGTTGGTGTTATATTTTAAGGAATCGATTACGAAATAAAAACTTGATTAAATTATTTATTTTTTTCCTCGATGTAACACTTCGCATTTTCCTTTATATGTATTTACAGTCAATCAGAGAAAGTAACGTCATCGCCTCGATCCTTTCYAAAAAATGTGAGATCGTACGCAATCGTGAACAGAATTTGATGCTTTACTCCGGCGCCTGGTACTATTTCTTCTCGAAAATCATCGATTTGCTAGACACAACCTTCTTTGTGCTGCGTAAGAAGCAAAATCAGGTTTCATTCCTGCATGTTTATCATCACACCATCACCGCACTCTTCTCTTGGGGTTACCTGAAGTACGCGCCAGGTAAGTGAACTGGTATTTCCATAATGAGTGGCATTAATTTAACTAACTCAATTTCTGTTGTTTTATTGTAGGTGAGCAGGGTGTCATCATTGGCATACTGAACTCTGGCGTACATATCATTATGTACTTCTATTATATGGTTGCTGCCATGGGTCCACAATATCAGAAATACCTCTGGTGGAAAAAGTACATGACTACCATTCAGCTCATCCAATTCGTGCTCATTTTGGGCTACATGATCATAGTTGCTGCCAAGGGCTGCAATATGCCACGCGCGTTGACATTCATATTTCTCGCCAACACGATTATCTTCTTGTATTTGTTCGGAAAATTCTACCGCAAGACATACAACACGCGAAAGGCGGCAGCAGCAGCAGCCGCAGCGAATGGTCACGCAAATGGGCACGCCAACGGTCATGCAAATGGCTATGCTAAGGGTCTTACGAACGGTTCCATCACTGGGCGCGCACTACTCGCCGCTGCCGGCGGTATGGGCTGCAAGCCGACGACGAACTCACTACTGACGCATGGCGATCAGATGAAGCATTTGATCGATGTGAATAATAATCACATAAAGTTGATGAAAAGTGAATAAGTGTGGTGAAAAGTTGAAAGTGGAGTACAAGGGTGTAGGGGCTATTTGAGCACGGGTAGGGTTATGCATACATACTTACATACATTAGTGACGATCAAGGCGATCTTCAACGGATGATCAAGTGCTATTTGAAGTTATTAAACTATTTTGTGAATTTTTTATTTTGTCTTTTGGAAGTGAAATTCGCTCGAAAAACAATTTAATTCGCGTCAGTTAATTTTGAAAATCAGTAAAAATTAAAATTGTTTTATTGACTGTGTTTTAAGTATAATGAATTACGACTATAATCTGCAATGAAAATACTTGATATTCTAAATTTTGCTGAAACTTTCRAATTCTCAATAATTTTTCACTTAAAAAAAAGAAAAAAAAATTCCATTGTTGCCAAAGTGCAATAATAATTGTTTTGTCATTACAAAATATATGCACCACATGCTACAGTATAAAAAACACACACATTTCAATAGCATTAAGTAGAAATATTTTTAAAACATATTTTATTTTTAAAGCATATTGTGAGAGCTTTTTATCGGGGGTTTCTTTAGTAGTTAGTAATTAYAAACTGTCTTACTAGCAATATTGAAAAGTTCTGTTTTAGTCAAGAAAATCTTTAAGAAATCGAAAATATAAAACCAAAAGAAAGAACAATGAAGACAGCAGTACAAATGGGCTTACCGCTTCTTCTGTGATTGTGTKTGTCTGTGCGTGAATGAGCTTATGTGTAAATGTATATATATATTAAAGAAATATTTAATAATGGAGTTGTACGTAAAGTATGGAGTTTCCGTAACCAAAAACAAAAATGATAAATAAATTAGTACTATTATGAAGCTATAACCAAATTTTTCTTTGCTTACTGCAGTTTCAAAYAATTCCATCACATTATATATTCAGGTTTGTGTGTGCGTGTGCGGTGTCTAGAAAGCGGCGAGCCCATTTACTTATATACCTTATATGCGAACTATCTAGTTTAGTTAAGTTTAGTGTTTTTTTTATTATAAATAATAAATATATATAAACGTGTATATTTTAAACATTGCTGAATATTTGTATGCCTATTTGTAATTTACCACTTTTGTTCTGAAGAGAAATAAACGAAAATTTCATTATYGAAAATTTATTACGCAAACGATTTTATTTTTCATTCAAAGTAAGTAAGTTGTTAAGGGGCTACATGGGTTTACGGGTTTAAAAAAATCGAAATTTGTATTGCCTTATGAAATTCTATAACACCTCTAGAATATTGTCCTAAATTTTCAAGTTGATCAGAGTAATAGTTTCGGAGATGCAGCCGTGCTAGCTAGGCTAAGTGCGCCGTCTTTAAACGCGTTTTTCTGGAAACTGTTTTTTTGAGGTCGGGAACTGCTCAACTGACGTTTATGAAATTTTGCAAAGGTCTTTGAGATACAATTCTTAAAGACTTGGACGAAGAATTGAAAGATAAAAGTGCGAAATTTAAATTTTTCGTAAAAATGTCTTTGAGAAATCCAACTTTTACTTTTCTGCGTCGAGGTTCATAGTTAAGGTTTTAACCAAAGCACGTACTTTTGCACCTAAAATAGTCCTGTAAGGAGTTATCTTGCCAACGCGGGCGCATCTTTTATGCGAGAGGTCACTGGAAATAACTCGCAATGGCCATGTTGAAAATTCTTTTTCCAAAAATTTGTTTGTTAATAATDTATGTTTGTAGCAATAAAAAATTTTAACAAAATATTTCATTTTTAATATGAGAAAAATTTCATACTGATCGTTTGTCTCTGTGGAAGGAACTCATGTTGTACCATACCATAACAATCAAAGAAAACGATGAGCATAACCTTGATTTTTTACTGACTTTGACAAACTTTTTTAACACTGTTAGTTTGGTTGAAAGTCTCAACTGCATATTCATAAACCCCTGTTTTGCAAAGAGATATGATAAGTTTGATGAAGGGACTCTACATCAGCTGCGTTATTAGTGATATATTTTGCCGTCCCTACTCGGCGTCGCTTTTGCAAAAGATGCAGATGTTATGGTATAGATGTGTTGAGTCGATCCAATAGAGATGTTGGGATTCTCTGTAACTTCTTTGTTAATACCACGAAGCTTATCAAGCACTGCTTCTTTAACTTTTTCATTGTTAACGGCATCAACAGAGGTGAACGGACGTCTTGCTTGAGAGAAGTTTTCGATGAATTCAAGGCTTGTGTTCATGACAAAGTGAATTCCCTAAAACATTTCTGCAATATTTGTGTAAATTTCTGGTTCCAGCTATACTCTTACTYGCTTACTCTTGCTCGTACTCTCAAAGGCTTAATAGCTTTCTCTTATCTAATCTCTTTTTATTAGATAAAAGTCAAGTTTTAGGCAACACACACGCATTTTTTAAACTACTTATTTATGGCTAAGTATGTGAAAGATAGTTTTGAACAATTCATTAAAAAATTTTCTATTCTTTCCGACAGATTTGTTTTTCAATTCTGTTTCGAAATTTTCGTTTAATTTGTTTAATTGGTTTAACAAAAAGTTTACAGATGGCAACCTTTTTTAATTGACAAATGTAAGTTTACTTACGCTGATTTCGTAAAAATTTAGTCATTTTTGAAGAAATCTCATGCCTTTCTTAAGTAATTATTATCTTTTAAAATCGATTTTACTGACCGATATTCCAACGATGCTAGGAAGATCTTTGACTGTTAATCGTCGATTCTCAAGCACAAATGATCATCAGATGGTTCATGTTGATGGCCATCATCATCAACACTTTCTAAACCCYTTTTATCAATCCAAATTTTTATCAATCCAAAACTCTTGCTCTCAACAAACAATTATCAACSAAGGCCTTTTCCAACTTTCCGATTATCGTCAACAGAATTTTGACTGCACACAAAATTTACCGGAACTTCTTTATTAAATAATTTCACTTATCGTATAAACCGCCGAATGCACTTTTTATACTTCAGAAAGACACGYCTTTACTAAACACTAATAATWTTTTTGATTAACTATCACATCAAAATACACACACAGATGTCACTGACAGTCATACCAACACAGAAAAAAAAAATAGGTCGACTAATGGGTTTACGCGCGAAATTTAAATTAAAAAGTCTTACTATTTTTTTGCTCGCAGTAGTACGAATTTCTTAGACTTTTACCATAAAATAATAAAAAATGTCATACGCCTCTGCCGTGCTTCTAAACTACCCTTCTATCCGTCACCTAGCTCTCTGCTAGTACATATGTACATATGTGTATTAAAGAAATTAATAACAATATTTTCTTTTACCTAAAATGGATAAGCTCATCTAATTTTTACACCCTATTCGAGTATATGTTACATTTACTATAACGATTTTCAAATATCCGGTTCAATTTACATTATTTCATACGTAACTGTAAATACAGAGATATTATTTTCTGGTAATTTTATGTTGTGGTGTCAAAAGCGGATAAGACTACGTAGATACTACTCTTAATCCCATATATCCCATAACGGATAAGAAATTTAAACATTCGGTTAGATTTCCAACGTAAATATCCGTCAATATGTGAGATATGTTAGAAATTAAGTGTGGACCTACTACATTTTAATGCCGAAAATATTTGAAATCGTTATCGCTGTTGCCAAAATTTACAGCAGACTTTACGGCGACTAGTCGGTAAATATGTCGGTTCYCTTCAAAAGTTGCATGAAAACATGTTCTCTAATACAAGAAGTTATTGTATTAGACCTTATCAACCTAAACTGCCTAAGTGAATACTAAAAGGCTATGATTTTGTTCGAAGCCAAATAGGGCTCTTCGGTAACGGTTTGGCGATTTTGATAACGTAGTAGAAGTCAAATGAACCACAGAAACCGGTCGTTTCGGAAGACCGAAACCTTTCCAAAAACTATATTTGCGAGAAGCCTCATAACTGTAGTATTCATAGAAGTCAGGGAATACAACATAACACTAATTAATTATCTATATTTAMTTATACACTTCTCCAGCCTGCTGAATGACAGTGAACGCACAACGCCAGGAGAAGGCGAACCCGATTCCCCAATCGATGATKATGGAGCAGAYGTTCCATTGCCCGACCAGGAAGAAGTTCGAATAGCAATTACCCGCCTGAAGAACAACAAAGCGGCGGGGGCCGATAGACACACAATCTGCGCCAACTACCGTGGGATAAGCCTCCTCAACATTGCATATAAGGTTCTATCGATGTGTATTGTGTGAAAGATTAAAGCCCACCGTCAACAAACTGACAGCCGACCAGATATTCACCATGCGCCAAATCTTGGAAAAGACTCGTGGAAGGAGAATCGACACTCACCACTTCTTCGTCGATTTCAAAGCTGCTTTCGACAGCACGAAAAGGAGCTGCCTTTATGCCGCGATGTCTGAATTTGGTATCCCTCCAAAACTTATACGGCTGTGTAAGCTGACGTTGACCGGCACCAAAAGCTCCGTCAGAATCGGGAAGGACCTCTCCGAGCCGTTCGATACCAACGAGGTTTGGTTTTTCGTGCTACTTTTTCAACTTGCTTCTGGAGATAATAGTTAGAGCTGCAGAACTAAATAGAGAAGGTACCATCTTCTATAAGAGAGTACAGCAGCTGGCGTATGCCGATATGATCTTGATATCATCGGCCTCAACACCCGCGCCGTTAGTTCTGCTTTCTCCAGACTGGACAAGGAAGCAACACAAATGGGTCTGACAGTGAACGAGGGCAAGACGAAATATCTCCTGTCATCAAACAAACAGTCGTCGCACTCGCGACTTGGCACTCACGTCACTGTTGACAGTCATA